TTTTTTTTTTTTTTTTTTTTATTTTTTTCTTTCTTAAAACAAATACAAATATTAAAGTAGGTTTTATAAGAAAATTATTTAAACCATAAATAGTTTAAGAGGTAAAGTCGATTATTGTTTATCAGTTATTACGTACTATATAATTTCATTCTAAACTCATATTAGTATCAATAGTTAAGTTTCATAAATCATTTATATGCACCTTTTAATTTTAAATGCGCGGGGATGTGTTGAATTTTATTAAGTAAAAGTGGGGGAATAATGATGGAAACTGCCGATAGTTAGTGGTTGGATAGAAATAATAAATTGACTATTTTTGAAAAGAATGATCTTAATTTCTACAAAATCTTTTTTATGACTCATAATAGTATATATTATACATAATATAATATATAATATATATTTTTGGGGAAGAAAAAAAGGGATACTGATTAATGTTGTTTAATGTTGTGATGTTGATGATGTTGTTGTTTTTTGTTGTCGGTGTACCAGCCAACCAAACGGTGCGACAAAGAGTGGTGTTACGTTTATTTTACGATTCTTCGTGGGAAATATAGGAAATATAAGTTTAGTTTAGTTTTACACGTCTAGGAAAGTATATAACGCCAAAAAAAGAATTTATTCTTGAATTTCCCAGATTATAATAATAATAATATATTTTTTTTTTTTTCTGAGACGCGAAAAAAAAAATAAAATATAAACAAATCTTTTTTTCTTTGATGATAAATTTGTTAACTTGTTAACACCTCTTTTTTTCTTTGTTCCTTTTTTTTTTTTTTTTTTTTTTATCTTTTAAAATAAATAAAAATAATCCTGTAGGAGAAAAGATAAACAAACATTCCATAAATGAAAAATTATATTTTAATATAATATATATCTATATAAGTAATTATAAAATAAAATAAAATTTTGATGTTCTTAAATGCAAAGTAATAAACCAATATTTGTGGCTAGACGCGAAAAAAAAAAATCACTTTTCGTTATTTACGTCATTGTTGCGAAAAAAAAAATTTTTTATTTTTATGCGCATATTTTTCAAATACCAGCCCAATGCCGATGCCGGTGGTTGCCTGATTAGTGGTCACCTGAAACGGTTAAATTTGATTTCTTTTTTATGCCTGATTGACATTGACATTTCATGATTATTAATTGGTTAAAAAAATTGAAAATAATTTTTTTAAATTAACTAAAATAATTAAAAAAAAAAAAAAATAATAATTACTAATAAACTAACTAAAATAATTAACTTAAATAACTAAAACTAACTAAAATAATTGAAATGATTTAAGTGTACAGTTTAATTTTTTTTACTCATACTAAAAAAACTAGTATTATATAATAATAATTAGTGACTTTTTTAAAACTTTTTTAACTTTTTTAAACTTTTAAAACCATTTTTTCAAAAATTGTTGAAAAAAAGATAAAAATAATTGTTGAATGAAAACTTTAGAGGAAAACAAGAAAACCTCCTCCCCGAAAGGAAAGTAACCCTTACCCTCAAACAATATACTTGAATCCTTTCCCCTTTCTTTGTTATAATAATAATACTTTTTTTCATTTCATCATAAATCGTCACTCCGATCTTCTCAATTATGCTATGTACATATAGTACGTCATTTTTGTACACAACAACAAAACAAATATCAAATATTGACACTACAGGAGAAAAAAAAAAAATCATTTTAAAAATAAAAATCTGATAAAAAGGTAATAGTCGAAAACTTAAATTAAAAATAAAATAAAATGATAATAATAATAATAATAGTAAAAACAAACCTAATCGAATATGAAAGTGGGGAAAAAATTACTACCAAACTAAAAAAGCAAATATTATGCATAAAAATAAAAAGATGAAAAAAAAAAAATTTTTTTTTTTTTTTTTATTATTCAATTATGGATTAGTTAAAATAAAATAAGTTCATTAAAAAGCAAGATAATAATTGTATGTTGTGTTGGACAAAATAAGTTACAAGTATAACTTTTTTGTACTCAATCTCACTAAATAAGAAAGTGAATTGAATAATAAACTAGAAAAAAATGAGGGGGATTTATTCATTTATGTGATTGACATATTTAATATAAATTAGTTATAATGGTTTGTGAGATATTTGATATTTTTGTCAATCTATTGATACTATATAATTTCGGAGACTTTTTTTTTAATAATATAATGGATTACGTAGAAGAATTATATAAGCAAGAATTATCACATACCTTTCATTGTTCGGAAATTTTGTTGGTAATAATATATAAATATTCAGTAATTATAGTAATTATGGTAATTATGGTAATGTAATTATGTGATTGGTGATATTTATATACTGACTGTATACTAATACTTCATTAGATTCATTAGGTGATATAATAAATCTTTCTTAATCTTTTATCTTTTAATTTTTCTCCATCAGTAATTGATATGTCACATATTACATACAGTACTACTGTACGTACTGTTACTAATAAAACTTTTATGTATATATATCTAAAAACTTTCTAGGTTCATTAGGTTCATTAGGTGATATTATAAATTATAAATTATAAAATTATAAATCTTTCTTAATCTTATCTTTTAATCTTTCTTTTAATCTTTCTTCATCAGTAATTGATACGTCATACTACTACTGTGCGTACTGTACGTCCACATATTAAAACGCGTATAAATAGTATAAATACAAACGCGTTAATGATCCTGATAAGAAACCTGACAGTATCGAGAATGCGTATACTATAATTCTCTCAATTCTCTCACTCCTTTTACTCCCCAAAAAACCCCCTTAAAAACAAAATAACAAAATAATAAAAAAAAAAAAACTCATTTTTTGATCTAAAATATTAAATTGGTTTTATTGAATTGCTCGCACTCACGCTATCCTTACATATTCGTACATGAATAAATTTTTTTTTGGCGTTGTTATCGTTGTTATATTATAAACATTATTATAAATATTATAAACATTATTAAAAATATATAAATCATTATAAACATTTAAAAATCTTTTTTTTTTTTTTTGCCACATTACCGGTTAAAGAAAAAAAATTATAAGTTTGAAGTTCGTAAATATTTACTTGCGAATGGGCCACCTCAAACTAATCTTTAAATGAATATGTATAAGGATTAAGATGGTCATGATGGTCATGGTGGGAGAAAAATGAAAAATTTTGAAAAATTTGAAACAAGAACAGGTTAAGGAAAATGAGGTTTATATATATCAAAAAAAAATTTTCACAGATTAGGAAATCCCCTTCTCAAGTCATAGGACCTTCAAAGGCCATCCTGAATAGAACAATAGTTAAAAAGATCATGTACGACCATATGAGCATGTTTAAAATATTGATAACATAAAAAGGTACAATCATCTTTTATTATTCATTGTTTATTATTAAAAAAAAAAAAAAAATGTCAAAATTAAACAGAGATGTTTTTTATATGGTATTGCATGAATTACAAGATGATAAAAAAGCTCTTTATTCATGTCTTTTAGTTAATAAAACTTGGAGTGAAATAATTATTCCAATTTTGTGGAAAGATCCATGGAAATATTTAAAGAAAGGAAATGAAAAATCATTATTAAAAGTTATAACAACAAATTTATCATTAAATTCAACTTATAATATTATAAAAAATTCATATCAAAAACCTTTATTTGATTATATTAGTTATTGTAGACATTTAAATTTATATGAAATTAGGAGAATAATTAATACTATAAATGAAGATTCTGAAATGATAATTTTTAAAGATGAAATATTAGGAATTTTTATTAATGAAAATACAAAATATACTCATCTTTATATACCTTATCAATTTGATAATCAAATACATCTTATTCCTGGAGCAAAACATTGTTTTTCAGAACTTAAATTTCTTCGTTGTAATACAAGTATAAATGATAATGTTTTATCTGGATTAACAGAAATATGTAAATCAATTAAAGAATTGGAATTATTCATTAATGTACATAATAANCAAAATTTCGCCAATCAAAAATTTCGGCAACTCCGGTATATTATTATTATTATATAAACAACAAACATATATATATATATATATATATATATATATCATATCGTATATATATATCACATAACATATATATGTACATATTAATATATATTAAGTTATTTTAAAATTCCGATTTTTTCAATTAATACAATTTTAATTTGGTAAATTGGCATCATTTAAATGAGACGCCATAACTATTTTTTTTTTTCTTTTTGATAATAAATGAGTATAAAAAAATTCTGATAACCAAACATTACCAAATATAGTAAAATTCAAGAATAAATAAATGAGCAGCTGAACCATAAATAAATAACAAAAGGTTTTTTCTTTATAATGACGATAGTTTTTTTTTAACCCTCTTTTTTATTTATTAGCTATAAAACAAAAAGAGTAAAAAAAAAATAATATTCACCTTCAGCCAAGCAAATTTTTTGTTTATTTCTTTTTTACAATGAGAGAATTTCATACCGCCATCAAAAATAAATAAATAAATAAACATTAATAAAATAGAATAGAATAAGAATATAATGGATATATATTTTTTATTTTTATTTATTTTTTATATATTATATATATTTTAACTAAAATAAAAAATATGAATAATTGATGAAATTTAGTTTTCAAAAAAATTTTTAGCAATGGATGTTACTGCTTTTTTCATGTCTTTGTAAAAAAAAAATGCGTTTTGAAAGGTTTTGAAGTAAAGTTGTGAAATTTATCGCGAATAATAAAACAACCTACTTAATAACAACCTAATAATAACCTCAATAATGACCATAATGACCATAATAAACACAATAATAAGCCCGCGTTAAAGAGAATAATTATCCAAAATTGGACCCATTTTTTTTTGAAAGGCGAAACGTTTCCTAAGAGGAATTGTTATTATTATTATTATTATTTATTATTAACATCATCTCATCAACTCTGATTGGAACACGCAACACGCACAGCTGAGTATTTTATTGTAAGGCTGCTAGGATTATCATTAAACATATTTATTGATCCGAACTTTACAAATTAAGAAAAAAAAGGTGAGAAAATTTGAAACATTGAACCACCTTTAATGACCTTTGTTAACTTTGCCTAATCAGGTGATGTGGGTGATTTATATGTTTATTCGTTTCCTTTTTAAATGATCGTTCCTGAGTCCTGAGTCAACCCTGAGTTTCTGAGTCACATTTTATATTAATCCTATTTTTTTTTCACGAGCAATTTTATTTTTTTAAACACATTCCATTAAAAATAGAATTGTGTAACTATGTTTACGTAACTTCATTTTTTACGTCTATCCCAATTAAGTAATTTGATAGTAGCTTTCCCTTTTTTACAATTATTTAACATACATAACAAACAAGCTTTGAGATCCTTTTAAAGTGACGAATATATGGTTTTAGCGACAAAGATATATGTAATTTTATGAGAAGAAAAAGAATTTCTAAGGTTATTTTTTTAATAAATTTTTTTTTTTTTTTTTTTTTTAACGAAATTCTACGAATATATCATTTTTTTTTTTTTTATAACATCAGCATCTTTCGGTTAATTTCCTTAATCAATGAAATAAATATAAACATCCTATTTAAGAGATTCTTTTTATTCCAGATAAAGAACAATTTGCTTTTTTCGAACAATTTTTATATACAAAATTTCGCCAATCAAAAATTTCGGCAACTCCGGTATATTATTATTATTATATAAACAACAAACATATATATATGTATATATATATATATATCATATCATATATATATATCACATATACAACATATATATGTACATATTAATATATATTAAGTTATTTTAAAATTCCGATTTTTTCAATCGAAAAAATTTTCTTATTTTTAAGGTTTTCAATTAATACAATTTTAATCTCTTACAACTATTTTGGTTAATTGGCGTCATTAAAAAAGTTTTTAAGTGAGGCGCTATAACTGATAATAAAAAAAAAAAAAACTCCTCCTAAACAAAAAATCTTTTTTTCTTGTTATTCCTATTTTTTTTTTCTTTTTGATAATAAATGAGTATAAAAAAATTCTGATAACCAAACATTACCAAATATAGTAAAATTCAAGAATAAATAATTGAGCAGCTGAACAATAAATAAATAACAAAAGGTTTTTTCTTTATAATGACGATAGTTTTTTTTTAACCCTCTTTTTTATTTATTAGCTATAAAACAAAAAGAGTAAAAAAAAAATAATATTCACCTTCAGCCAAGCAAATTTTTTGTTTATTTCTTTTTTACAATGAGAGAATTTCATACCGCCATCAAAAATAAATAAATAAATAAACATTAATAAAATAGAATAGAATAAGAATATAATGGATATATATTTTTTATTTTTATTTATTTTTTATATATTATATATATTTTAACTAAAATAAAAAATATGAATAATTGATGAAATTTAGTTTTCAAAAAAATTTTTAGCAATGGATGTTACTGCTTTTTTCATGTCTTTGTAAAAAAAAAATGCGTTTTGAAAGGTTTTGAAGTAAAGTTGTGAAATTTATCGCGAATAATAAAACAACCTACTTAATAACAACCTAATAATAACCTCAATAATGACCATAATGACCATAATAAACACAATAATAAGCCCGCGTTAAAGAGAATAATTATCCAAAATTGGACCCATTTTTTTTTGAAAGGCGAAACGTTTCCTAAGAGGAATTGTTATTATTATTATTATTATTTATTATTAACATCATCTCATCAACTCTGATTGGAACACGCAACACGCACAGCTGAGTATTTTATTGTAAGGCTGCTAGGATTATCATTAAACATATTTATTGATCCGAACTTTACAAATTAAGAAAAAAAAGGTGAGAAAATTTGAAACATTGAACCACCTTTAATGACCTTTGTTAACTTTGCCTAATCAGGTGATGTGGGTGATTTATATGTTTATTCGTTTCCTTTTTAAATGATCGTTCCTGAGTCCTGAGTCAACCCTGAGTTTCTGAGTCACATTTTATATTAATCCTATTTTTTTTTCACGAGCAATTTTATTTTTTTAAACACATTCCATTAAAAATAGAATTGTGTAACTATGTTTACGTAACTTCATTTTTTACGTCTATCCCAATTAAGTAATTTGATAGTAGCTTTCCCTTTTTTACAATTATTTAACATACATAACAAACAAGCTTTGAGATCCTTTTAAAGTGACGAATATATGGTTTTAGCGACAAAGATATATGTAATTTTATGAGAAGAAAAAGAATTTCTAAGGTTATTTTTTTAATAAATTTTTTTTTTTTTTTTT